GCCTGTAATCCCAGCTACTTGGGAGGCTAAGGCAGGAGAGTCACTTGAACCTGGAAGGTAGAGGTTGCAGTAAGCCAAGATCATGCCACTGCACTCCAGTCTAGGTGACAGAATGATACTCTGTCTCAAAAAAATAAATAACTTAATGACACAAAGGAGGAAGGTTGCATGTCAGTTAGTGGACTATTTACATGCTGGCTAACATAGATTAACTGCAGCTTTTTGAATGTCTGCAATTTAGTTTTATTAATAAGCTATAATAACACTGAGTTTACCATTTTATCAGTTGATCTGCTTCTGTATAGGCAACTATATAAATACTGCCAAAAGTATAGCAGCAATAATTTATCTGTATGTGCTCAGGGAAAATAATTGTAGTATATAAAAAAGCTTTACAAGAAATTTGAATATTATACCATATTATTAAAGTTTTAAAACTTTAACATTAATTTTTCACTTGTGCCACTGAACTTTGTCAATAGCTACTGGCTTTCCCAAACAACACCAGGTAATCCAGCTAGTAATACATATTTCTAATAGAAATAATTAACACAAAATAAAACCAAAAGTATTTTTACTAAGGCAGTTAAGGCATACACATTTTAACCTGCGAAATTTTGGAATGAAGAAAAAAATGATCAATGAAAGAATCCCAATTTAAATAATTTTAGTGAAATCAATGGGGAAAAATTGGAAACATCATGTTACATAGAAAATTAAGGATTTGGATGGGCATGAAGAAAGTACTTTCTCAAAGAAAACTAATCAGCGTTGTTGTAATTTTTAGTAGAATGTTCCACAATCACAAACTGAAATCAGAAATATCCCCATCCATGACAAGGCAGGGAGAAATTAAAAATAATGTCAACGTGTTAGTGGGTTTAAAGCAACAAGAATGGGTATGTGTCAAAACAGTCTGCGTCCATCACCAAACTATACAACTTCACATATGTACCAGGGCTACTGCCTCAAGACTGCCTGGGAACTTGACTCTCTAGGAGTTCATATTGACAGTATGATATATGGGAATGGCAGTTTAGACCTATTTTTGCAGGCAGAGCATGAGTTACTCCATACTGAACATGCTTGGTTGACTTCAAATATTATTGCCATTTTGACTTTTGCTTTAATTTTCATCCACTATTTCTAATACTAGAACTGTACCTTTCAAGAATTTACATTGAATTCATATTATTTTATCTTTATATATAGAAAAATTATTGAATTTAAGAAATACGGATATCTGACACAGCAAATGACGTTAGTATATATATTTTCATTTTCAGTAAACGTATTTATGGAGTACTACAGAAAGTTTCCCCCAGGTATATACTTTGATTTACAAGTGCTAAATGATCTTCTAAATTCTTTACTCAAACATTGTTTATTGAAAGAAGTATTTCAGATAGTGAACCTCAGCATAATGGTTAAAATGCTGGTAAGTAGCCTGAAAATATATGTTATTTTAATATTTTATGTTGATTTCTCTGTTATTCATTATTTGAATTTAGCAGTTGAATTTCTGTGTTTGTTGAATACTTCCTAGAAACCACTTGTGTTTTTCAACATAAATGAGTTTGAGAAATTTAAGGTATACTAAAAGAAGATCTGAAAATGAGTGTAATTTTTTTGTTTTATCCAGCCTTCTCTGAAAATATTACTAAACATATTTGAGCATGTGGCAACTATGAAATTAAGGAATGCTGTACCTGCTTTAATTGATATCTTTTGCAAGGTATGGTTTTATTTTCTTTTATTCTCTGATGGCAAGTAACCAAGAAAATAATTGTTTCCATGTATATGCTTGAGCTGCCTTTTATTCACATTCTGGATGCCAAAGAATTCTATTTCCAGAAGTATTCTTTTTCTCTTGAAATAGGGTTTATAAAAATATACTCTAGTGGCTGATAAGCCTTCCCCTTAAATTAGTTTCAAACATTCAGATTATTGCTTTTTGATGTATGAATTGTCTTCATCTCTACTTGATAAGGATGATTAAATGAAATTTTCTTTCTCTAAAAGAATTGAGATCATTTACAACAGAAATAAACCAAAAAAGACTGACAAAAATATAAAATTCAACTTTTGTTAAATACTTCCTAATATTTGATACTTAATCATCTACTTCAGAATAGGCCTGATAGGAAAACTACTGGTTTTCTTTCAGAAGCAACATTGGAAGAACTCTAGCAGAAAAACAGATATTTGAGTGAATACCTCAGATTTCACATTATAAAACTTGACAATTGCTTGCCTAGAAATGTTTTGAATCAAAAGTTACTGATCGCTGGGCACAGTGGCTCACGCCTGTAATCCCAGCACTTAGGGAGGCCGAGGCGGGCAGATCACAGGGTCAGGAGTTCAGGACCAGCCTAACCAACATGGTGAAACCCCATCTCTACTAAAA